TTAAAAATTATTATGGCTGCCTCACTTACTATTTAAAGTTATATACATATATACAGGGGGAAATTTTAATAAACAATTCACGGCCTATTACGATCCTGTATTAAATGATAATATAATGTAATAATTAGTGACTGTCAAAAATATTTCCACATGTAAAATGATCGATACTGTTATAATTAACCTAATCAACTATTCAAATTAAAATTTTTTATAAGGAAATAAATTTTATTTATTTAGTTATATTATTTATTTAGTTATTAAATATTAAAATTAATTAAATAAATTTTATATATCGTATATACATAAATGTATAGACCTAAAAATATAATACATATTTTAAATGTGCTACAATATAAAACTTTAATTTAATAGCTTCCTTTTAGTTTTACTAAGTACATAATTACTTAAGTATAGCAACATTCAGTAGTACAACAACAGTACCTTTGTTTATAGGTATTACAAATATAAAATGACGTTTCTTGTTCGCTTATGCATGTTGTGAGCAAGGTTATCACTTTTGGTGATTTCGGAGCAAAATTGATTAATTTTTTCCATATTGGTTCCTTTTTTGGCATTTTAGCCAATTTTCTCTACTGGCAGAAGTACTGTTAGCAAAAATTTCGTTTAAAATAATAAAAGATACAGTTGGCCGTATCAATTCTATGGTACTCGTATAATATTTTCTGTGATATAAGCGAAAAACTTTGAAGATGTATGACAGTTATCACAAGGATTTAAAAAATTTTATTGGCCTCTATTAAATATAATAGTTTAATTATTTTCCAGTAAAATTTCAACACTACGTAGCTCCTATAATTTCTGATATGTAGTCAAATAGATTTTGAAGTTGTGTGGCAACTACTAGAAATACTGAAGTTGTGTGGCAACTACTAGAAATACTTCACAGTATTTTGTTCTTTTTTTCTTAGATAAATTGAAATTTTGAACTTAATTTAGAAAAAATAAATTCTTTTGTTTTCTAGTCAGTAACTCTTTAGACTCATCAGTTTTTAGTCTGATCTGTTAGTGTTAATTAAACTAGAGCTATAGTAAATTTTTACAAATATTTTGAAATAAGTGCTGAAATTCAATAGATATTAAAAAAAAACTATTTACGAGTATTCACATGTGTATCTCATTGTAGACATTCCCTTTAGACAATCTTTTCTCATTTTTGGTGGTTAAAAACGACACAAAATTTGATAGAAAAAATAAAACTTTGACTCATTTTTGACTTTTGTTTGTTTGGTATTTAGAATTTCTTATTCTATTTTTTTGTTTTTGTGGATTATTCAGGAAATTTAGAAAAGAAAATTTTTCTTAATAAATTTTCCATATTTTGTTTTTTGCTTTTTTATTTTTCCTTTGCCAAAATCCATTACTTTTTCTCTATACAGACAGTTTATTTACCTCAATATTACCTCAGAATTTTTTTTTTTTTGTTATTCAAATTGAAATTTTAAGCAAGGGAATAAAATTAAAGGTGAATTATATGTGCTCATTTGCTTTTCTAAAATTTTATTAAAACATTTTATTAAAACTAATAAATTGTAAAATGAATACAAAATACGAACAAAATTTTAAGCAATAGTATGGCGCCCAATCGTCTTGCATTCATTATTGATTTAAAAATACAAAACACAAAAATATATTTGAAAATTTAAATATCTACATACATACAATTTTCTATTATTATGATGTGTGTATGTGTTTGAATTGTGTGTGGTCTCTTTAATTTCATATGACTCGGTAAGCTTAAAAATACAAATGAAAAATTAAATATAAAAATTTTTGAAAATTCACATTTTTTTTTTTCCTTTAACCAACATTGAATTTTGTTATAGAAAGGTAAACAAACATTCGCAAATATATATATAATATATATATTTTAAAATATTTTGAAAATTTAAAAATATAGAAGATGATGAGTGTACGTGCTATGCCATATGCATTTATTGTATAGGAGAAATTCATTCTAGCATAATATGAAATTATTAATTTATAGTTTTGTTACTCACCACAACTTTGTCTTACTAATAGTTTCTATGCTTTACTTAAAATACATAATTATTAAATGAAGAACAAATAAATGTGCTTATTATATTAATTCGAACAAATATTTTAAAAAGATTGAAATTAATCTAAATTCTTGGAAATAAGGTGAAACATTTCTGTTTTTTATTTTAACAATTTACGCAAAAGAATCTTTACGCCAGTGAAAATTTGCAATATTGAGGACGTAATCAAGTTAACTTATAGCATAATGTAATAAGCAAAATGTTCGTTTCGTAACATTTTATATATAATGAATTTATGAAACCTCATATAAATATTTTAAGTAGTCTATTTTGCCCTATCGTAAAGTATTTTATAAATTTTCAAATAATTCCAATTTTATTATCAAAATTAATGTTTGAACTTTTTGATACCCTTGGATTCTGTAGATTATTTTGAGCACTCTTAAAAACAAATAAGTGAAAATTTAGATTTTCTATTTTTCGCATTTAATATCTAGGAATCTTAAAAGTGATGAAAAAAATATAAATTTTTCTATTTACCGCGATTTTATAATGTAGTACATAGTCTTACTAAATAGAAACTCTTTTCTTGCGAATAAAATATTAAATTAGTTGAAGAAACTATTTTAATTTAAGATTAATAAGGATAGAAGATTTTCTATAAAATCGAGAAATGAATATATAGCACAATTTTTCCCGGTCTACCTACTTAGTAAATATAGAAATCATTTTTATGCTTCGAAAAATTTTTCTACAAAAATGTCCATTTTCAATTTTGGATACTCTCTTGAAATTCATAAGACTTGGTAACGGCACACATACCAAAGTAATGTGCAAACATTAAGTAATGCTCAACAATCACAGATTAAAAAGAATGACAAGGGGATTAGCAAAAGATTACAATTTTATTTCTAATTACATCATCTGCAATACAAAAATATTTATACACATTTACATCTCATATAATATATTTAAAAAACTTTTATACAATATTTTGTTTAAATCGGCATTTATTGTAGAGAATTTTTTTTTTTAATAATCGTTTCCTGAAGAATGTCTCGGTCAAATTTTCATGTCAACTTTCAATATCCAATAATTAATTTAATTTTTTTTTTCACATTTTTTTTTTTTTGTTTCTTTTGAATCTTTCAATTTTAGTACACAAATTGACCCCGTGTGTACGTAAGAATTGAAAAGAAAAATATTGTCATAATAAACAATTTTGCATCATAATATTGCTGACATTCAAATCAGACAATAACCCCCCCTTTAAATCGAATAAAAAAAAAATTTTTTTTTCTGTATAAGAAGCTCAATGCAAATCAGTCAAAAAATTTAACACTTTAAAAAGTGGGCGACCTATTATACGTTTGCTTTCAATAAATATATGTGTGTAAGTAGTTATACCATTTATTTTATATATAAAATATTTAAACATATATAAATACACAGTTTTATAATTGTATGTTATTCGAATGCCTGCTTAATTAGCATTTTACTGTCTTATTAAATTCACATTTACCTACTTCGTATTCCGTATTTTTTAAAGGAAATATGAAAATTTTAATGACAAAATTTAATAGTTTAAAAGAAAAATACATAATTTGAAATACTTACATATATTTTTTTTTTATATTTTAAGAAATTGACTGTAAATTACGTTAGTTTGGCCTTAAAAATTAAAATTTAGTTGAATTTACTTGACTTTTCCTCTGTTTTATAATTTGATTAATAATTTATACATGTAGATGCATATGAACGTAGTTCGGAAGAATATATTTTGTATTGTTTTATACCGAATATAAATAGATAGTACAAAAATATACATACTTAAGTATATATATATATATATAAATTTTTATTAATTCACTTGGATTTATTGAGCAATTAAAAAAAAATTATGCAGAAATTTTTTAAAGGCGCCATGGTGGTTATAAAAGCTTGTATTAGTAGAAAAATTAATATAATTTTAATTATATATATTTATTTATTAATTTATTATAATTACATTTATGATACAGAAATAAAATATTCTCTTTTGTATGTATTAATATAAGTATCAACTTGAATTACAAAGTTTAAAACAAATTTCAAACTTATCAAATTTTTCACTGAATATTCTCATGTTTTAGAGTTTAAAACAAGATTTATAATTTTCTTAACTTTTAATACTACATCACATATACCTTTAACTATTATAATTAGTTTATATATTACAGACTTTATTTTTGTTCCTTTAGTAAAAGTAGGTCACATATAATATTTAGTCTTATATATTAAAAAAATATTCAGAAATTTTTTAAGTCTGTTTAAATAATAAATTCTGTGATTACAGTCGAATCCTTATATAAGCAACCCGTATTAAAGCAAAATTTCTTTACAAATAAAATAAAATTTTTTTGATTTCTTATATTATTGTTCTAATGTACCTAATATTATATTCACAATAAAAATATAATATTCTTATAAATCAAAAATTTTATATAATTTTATAGATAATTTTAATTTTGTATTAGATATATATATACACGCATATAGTATATAGAAACAGTATATTATGGTATATTATAATATTGGAAAATATGTATGACTAAGAAAAACCATTAGAATTTTTAAAAATATATCGTAGATTTCCCGCCGCATTTTCCTCTATTCCACAACTTTGTACTTAAATTTATTTTAAAAATATGAAAAAAAAAAATTGTGTTTTTTTTTTCTTATTTTTTTTTTTTTACATACTTATATTATGTATGTACGTTTGTATATTGTTTTTCTCGATTTTGATTTGATTTATTGAAGAAAATATGGCGTCAAGTGAATTATAATAATATATAAAAGATATAAAAAAGATAAAATAATAATTATTATTTTTAAGATATAAAAAATATTTTATATTAAGAAAATATACTAGCCTTGTTCCAGGGACTCCAAAAAAAAATTATCTCAAAATTATATTCTAAATTAATGATTGTAACAATAAAGATTCACAAAAGAAACCAGTTATGCAACACCATCAAGAGTAGTGTGAAAATATTTTGCAATTTTCTAATTTGAAAAATCTTACTAAATTCGTATTTTTCGTTCTTGTTTTAAAATAATCTTGTATAAAATAAGATTAGTTGTAGGTTATTTGCTGTTAATAATAGTAAACTAGTTTAAAATATTTTAATATTTCTAAAAATTTACAACATTTTATGTTATAAGGAAAGTTATCCTATAAGTCATCAACATAAATAATGTTAATTATTAAATTTTGAAAATTATTATTTCATACTTCCTCTTTTTTAATTCTATTGAAGCGTTATTCTTGCTGTACACCCTTAACCTGGCTTAATTTGTTAAAATTAGCTGCTACATAAATTTCTAATAATCAATCTCACATACATACACAATACTTATATTTTTCTCTAAAATGCGTGGTAGTTTTCGGTCAACAATCCAACATAATTTTTAAAAAAAGCATTTTATTTTTCAATTCAGAAAAAAAAACATTTATATTGAATAATATTGTAAATATTATCCTTTAATTTAAGAATATTGTAATAATATATTTTTAATTTATAAAAATCGATAAAGTTCAATTATTTATACAATATTTTACATAAGATAGATAGATTTTCTTTAAAATCTTAAAATACATATCAAATCTCGTTCTTGACTGATTTTTACATTTTTCATTTTTGATTATAATTTTACTTCAGCTGTCACCACTCAATAAATATATTTGGATTATCGTTAAATATAAGCATGAAATCCACATCAAATGCTCATATAAAATGCAAAATAAAATTAATTGGAATGTAATAGTTGTTTTTTTTTTGTATTAACTATAAAAATAGAACGGCAGAATGACCACGCATTTAAAAAAACACAAAAAAAAAGGAAATTTTATAATTTTCCCAAAATGAAAAACTATGAGTTTACGAGAAAACAAACAACAAAAAAATTTTGTTTTTTCTAAATTTGTTTTCTTCTATTTTCCAATTAGAATTTCCTGATTAAATCATCACCTGACTTATTATTGCTATATTTCAGTTTCACTTAAAACCAATGATGATGACTGATAGGTTCTATATGTTGAGATTATGCATAATGGACATTCAAATTATTAACAGAAAAAAAAGATAATTTTCTCTTGTTTTTTCTCTTGTTTTTTTCTTTTTCCATCTTTTTCTCTTATACGCAAACTAATTTAATAGGAAAAATGTGTAATGACTTTGAATTGAATTTTAACATTTAAATTTCTAAGAATTTTCTTAATTTAGATTTTGGTATAACAAATTGTATCAAAAATAATTTGAAGTATAGAGGCGTTAAACATAAATACAAAATGAAGGAAAAAAAATTAATTAAGTAAAATGAAATAAAAATGAATGCCAAAGTTTAGTTGGAGCTTAAAAAAAAATATTTTCAAAAATACAAACATTGTTTTTTTTTTATTACAGTAAAGTATTTAGACTTGACTATCGCTTATTTTTTTACAAAAATTTTTATTTAATTACTTCACTTCCGGAATATTGAATAAACATAGTAATTAAAATATTGTTTAATTTTCCAGATTAACATTGTAAAAGAAAATTTAATTCATTATACCAAACAAGTTTAGCTCTGCGATTCCCGGTGACAATTGGGAAGTCGACGAAATATAAACTTGAGTTGAGTAGATTTTTCCAGATCTTTCTAGCACTTTTTTACGGGTCTAAATATTAATGCGGTCGTTTTCCAAAAAAGTTTTAAAAAAGGAATATGTTTATTTTTTTAAAACTTTTTCGGCGGTATGCCTTATGAGTTCAAAAATTTTCGAAAAAAATTTCTAGAGCTTCGCATAATATTTTCACCGATATTTTAGGTATGGCGAAAAACTGCTATACTTTATACCCAAAACACTCTAAGGAGCATTAAAAATCGCGCTGAACTCTACCTGATAGTTTATCATAGTCGCGGGAAGATCATTTTTTCAGTTTGTATTACCACTTAAGTCCAAAACCCAATCAACTAAACCAAAATTCAGGAACGCAAAATAAAGCTTTGTATTCATGAGAATATTTAATTCGCATAAATTTTTTAATTTCAAAAAAGTAAAAGAATACCAAATTTAAAGTACGTCGGGAAAATTACATGCTTTTGGAAAGTATATCTTGCTTTTTGTTTATACTTATTCTGATAAAAAAAGCCTTCTTTAAAATTTAAAATTATAATAAAATTAAAATGAGATAAAAATTCTAAAAAAAAAAATAAAATATATTTCAAAAAACAAGACCATTAATTTTGGAAAAAAAATTAAAGTTTAAAATTCATATATGCATTTTAGTTTATGTTAAAATTGTTAGAGAATAATTTGTTAAATAATGATTTTATGATCAGCAATTCATGTTTTTCATTTATTGATAATGATAGCAAATGATAAAACGCTAATCTCCCAGGCTAGATTTAAAATTGTATTAATTATAGCACCGTAGTTTTAAACGGTCGTTATAGGATTTAAGCTCAAGTCTGATCAAAAAAACTGTACTCAAGATTGCATAACTTAATATGCATACCCAAATATACATACATTTAATATCTCAACGATACCTTACAAATACGAAATTAGTATAAAAATAATTTCCATTCACACACAATATGCAATTTGTTGTAAATCCTAACCGTTAGGATCCATGTCGGGCATATTACCGTAAAACGACATCTGAGGAGTGAAAAATATGTTTTAACGCGCAACTCTCATATAGACATTTATGGCAGGCTAACGTGAACTTATTGCTCAGCTTCTCCAGTGAAAAATAAAATCCTACAGTAACACACTAATTAATATAAACTTCCACACTTTCGGTTTATTGAGACTGAAAATTAATTCAAAAATAAAAATATTTTTATACAATAGTCTAGTTTCTGATTTCTAATTGAACTAAAAAGAAGAGATTTAAAATTTATTTTAAATCTTTTGATTCTTCAATGTCACTTACTGAATTATTAATTTTTTCTTTCTTTTTATTTTTCAACAAAGAAATAAAACTTAAAAAAATTAAAATAGTTTTGCTTTTCTGATGTTTTACAATCCCACACACTTAAAATTAGAAAATTTATATTAAAACCACATTAATTAAAACGAAGTTATTACAATTTTCTAAAAATCATTTTTATTTGTATCCGGTATAGTTAAATATGTGTGTGTGCACATGTAATTTTATTTTATATAAACAAATTAATAAATAATTATTTTTTCCGATCTCTATAATATGTTTATTTATCATTTCTATTAAATCTTCTTTAAATTTCAATTTCCAAAAAAACATTCTAATCATAATATCGAAAATAATTTTCTTTAAAAAAATATACAATATCGTTAATATGGTCAGAATTTTCATACAAGAACGAACATAATAAATGTCCGCTAAATTAAAAATAAATTTTATGTATTTTGAAAATTATGCGAAAGTACACATAAAACTTTTGAAATATGCAATTTCAAGGACATTAGATTTGTTATGATTTTCGCAGGGAGATGCTCGAGATACGAAGAAGATTTGCATTATTGATAATATCAAATGAACTGTTTGATTTCTGTAAATGCTCTAACCGTAATATAGTGAAAAATACTACTTACAAGAGTATTTCATTGTTGAATTCAAAAAGAGTGGGTCTAAAAATAAATTTATTTTAAATTGACCAAATCACTGAAATCTTAGAGTGCAACCTTAAAATCCATATCATATACAACTAAAGCTACAATAACTTTCTAAACTCAGTACTCAAATAAAATATAGAACATAAAAATTCAGAAAAATCAAATTGTTGGACTATATTTAAAGCAATACAAATACATTTTTTTATTTAGCACACCCCTTTTTTTTACAAAAACATAAACTTTCATTTATCAATATATACTAAATTTCATATATTTCTCTTTATTTTTTCTAGAATAATATGGAACGTCGCCGTAATACATTGGACCGCCTTCAAGATCAAATACGATTAAATTTTGGCCGCCGATCTTCTCCAAGTCCAACACAACAAGAAAAACAAAGAAAATCTGCAGAAAAATCAGAAAAACTACGTGAACTTACAGAATTATTACGTGGCACATCTAGTACTAGTTCTCATTCAAATCGTTTTTCACCGACTCCACCACCAATACCACCACCGAGAAAACCTCGTCACGGTTCCCAACAATCGAGTTTTGAAAAATCAACTGAAAAACTACCTCCCGATCCCGGACCCCCGCCTTCTCCAATTTCTCCTTTACGTGCAGCTGATTCCGAAGACATCCTACCAATGGATCAAGAAGCCGAAGACGAACCACATCGATACTCTGCGCCACAATTAACATCATCTACTAACAATAGGGAGAAAATTGTACAGTCTCCATCACCGCCACCGTTACCTCCACCACCACCCCCGCCATTACCGCCTCAACCATTATTTTCTACTCAATCAACTATTAACATAAATCTCAAATCAAAAAAACATAAAGAAAATAAACCTCTGACTGGAAGTACTCATGATTCAATTGAAAATAATAACAAGTCATTGTTGATGTCATCTCTACGTCCTAATTCAAGTGTCTCAAATTTAGAAGCTTTCATTTTTGGGCGAAACGGGAGAGGAAAATCAAAATCTCCACCACCATACACTGCGCTTTTAACGAAAAGCACGTCAAAAGATGAATCGACTTCTACTGAAGATGACATATGCACTTCTTTGCCAAAGCCAGAGTCTAGAACAATTATCGGATCTTACACTCAAAAAGGTATTCCATATAGATCAGCATCCTTTTCTCAAGTTGATTATTCTTCAGGAAAATATGTGAAATCCGCTCTTAATGCCTTTCGTGAACGTTTCCGTAAAAGTCAAGACAAGAATCAAAGTGATTCTGGTGGGGACAATAATGCTATTATATTATCAAGAAAAAAAGATGATCAAGAATCTGAGGAAACTAAACCTAAAGAACCAGATTTTATTTATATTCCATTAAAAAAATCCGAGTTAAATATTAATTTGCGTTATGATGAAAACGAAAAACCATCTCTTGAGAATAGAGTAAATCCGCCCGAAATAATTATGGAAGAAGATTCACAAATTTCAGAGTTAGATTCACCAATGCGTACTGAAGCAGATTGCTCTGAAGATATATCGGAAGCTTCTGATTCCGTAATTGTACCTACTACAATTTTAGAAGATAAATCAGATGAAAATCAAAATAAAATATTTCCGAAATCGAGTCCTATAAATGTGAGTAGAGAAGGAAGCGCTACATCTGAGCTAACTAATTCAAATGAAAAAGATTTGTTGATGGAATCTCCTCCTGATAAAGTTAAAACAACGACAACATGCCTTATACCTATTCCTATATACGAATCAACGGACGTGGTTACTACTGAATCGAAAGATAATGTAACTGAAGATTCAGTGAGCACTGAAGGTATTCCTACAGTTTTAAATGAAGAGTCAAATAATGACGCGGAAAAAGCGCATGAAACGCACTTAAATGCAGATAGCCCAGATAATGTTCCAAGGATATCGGTTAGTCAGAACACCCCCCAAGGTTCAATAGATGAAGAAGCAGAATCTCCAAATATAGCAGCAGAAATTAATCCTGAAAGGCTTTCTGTTGAACAAACATTTGACGACCAACCTACGGTTCCCACTCTTGTTGAAGAAGTATTAAATCGACCGCTTGAGTTTACTGAAGTTAAGAAACGTTACAGTAATGAAGCAGCCATTGGAGATAGATCTCATTCAGCTGACTCTATTTTGTCTCGCGGAGGAAGTTCAGACGAAAAACGAAAGCGAGATAAGTCAAAACGACGTATGGGTTTATATTTTCAATGGCCAGCTGTTGAAACAAGTGAAAATACGCAAACCAGTAGTGAGTGGGATACAAGTATTGACAGCACTGCTTTTGAAGACAAAAATAATTTGGCTCTAGATATAACCAAGGTAGACTTCTCAAATTTAAAATCCGATAGTTCTCAAAATGACACGTTATCCTTGTTTTTAAATGACACATTAAATCAGTCAGAGTTAATTCAGACACCAGAATCAGGTTATATATGTGAAATTTCGACTCCAGAATCGGAAAGTTACATTAAACCAAAAATATGGTCTCGATTTAATAGACGAACATCTTTAACATGTCAAAGTTCAGAAGAAAAAGATGATGGCTCTTCACCAGCGCCATCTGTTAATAGATCTAATAGAAACCTTTTGTGTTTTAAAAACGATTCAACTTCTGATAATGAGAGTGACCGAACTCCACCGCCATCAAGAGATCGTACTTCTCCATCTCCAGCACCAGGCGATAGCGATTTCAAGAGATACTCAAAACGACCTTTACGGGGTCCTTATGGTCAAATGCTAGAAGCAGAAATGAAAAAGCCAGGAAAGGTTCATTATGACGAAATATTTGAAGAACTCAAGGAAAATGATAATTTGGGTAAAACTCATGGAAATCGTTCTCGTATTCAAAATAATCGTTCCTTTGACGAAACTCGAACAATTCCACAACATTCAAATTCAATGCGTGTTCGAAAAACAGCAAATTTACCTATACCAACCCATACAAGAGCTGCATCTACTCCATCACAAATGGAAAGTACATCAAGTTCTCCAGGTAGCAATCGAATAAGCTCTAAAGATATTGTTGGATCATTAGAAGAATCTAATGGTCATTTAACAAAAGGAAAATCAAATAAAAAGTATTCCAATGATATGCACCGTGAACGTTCACCAAAACGAGCTTCATCTGAAGCACCAGATATAAAATTAATAAATTTTGCAAAACGATCTCCTTCATCAGCAAGTGATCGACACCAATTTTTACAGGACAAATCACAAAAACGAAGTTTTGAAGAAATGCGATTTTCTCAATCAAGTAGAACGAATTCCGAAAGGAGTACAATTTCGGAATCAAGTAAAAGTGGTGGGGGTAGCGGGGTTGTAAATAATCAAACAAATATTGGAACTCTAATGCCTAGTCCTGAACTATTAGCAGCACTTTTAAAAGGTTCTAGTGAAAGACAAATTTCAGAACAACGTCAACAAACTATAGTGGTAAGTGAAGACTGTTTTTTTTCATTTTGATTTTTAATATTAAGGAAGTAGAAATAAATTTCAATACCGTAAAAAAATCTTAAAAAATTCATAATATTATAATAAATATAATAATAATACTGCATGAGGTATGCAGTATAATGTGCAAAAGCTACAAAATTAAATAATTTAAATAAATAATTATGGTTATAAAAATTTGTAACAACTATTCAACTTTCCGATTCCAAGTAATTTAGGTTAATTAATTTCATTTTTATTTCTCCACTTCTTATATAATGTTGCATTTTGCCTTATTGAAATTTATGAATCAGTGGGCTTTACATATGCATACATATAAATATGTTTCAAGATTATGACCTAATTAACATTTGGAATTTCCACTTTCTTAATTTTGCTAGAAACGCAATATTTCAAATGTAAGTATGATAGACATGATATTTTGAAATTATCATATTCTTAATCAAATAAATCATAAGTCAGATTTGTGTCAGTGTATATGTGTTAGACATTATATATTTGAATGTATATGTACATAAGTTAAAATTCAATTAAAACAAAACATAAGAATGTCAGCAAAAGGCCATCATTTTGAAACATAATAAAAAATTACCAAAATTTTATGTTATGTAATCTATAAAAGAATTTTACTTTCTTATAAAATAAATTTTTTTTTTCTTCAAATTATGAAATTAGATCACTTTGTGTCCTAAATATATAATTAAATAAATATTTTGATGATAGTTTCTATTTCATAGGAATCATTATAAAAATTAATTGGGTCAATCTTTAAAAATATGCTCATTGTGAACTTATTTTACATTCTGATTTATTAAAATGACAATTTTCCTCTTATTTAATTATCATAAGGGGTGATCGTTGATATTTTCATGAAAATTTGATCGTTTAGAGTTTTTGAAATATTAGTGATATAAAAAATAGATAAAGGTGAATTTAATTAAGATTATTTGAACTTTATTTAATAAAGAGTATGCTTTTTAAATGATAAAGTATAATAACATAGACCTGGAAAATAAACTGAGAACTAGTTGTAAGAACTAAAATGTTATCTAGGTATACAATTAATATTATGAAGCTGAGGTTTAAAACTGCCCATAAGAACCGGTTTTTTAATTATTTTTTTCTAAAAGAACTACAAATACTAAGTGTATTTCTATATAAGAAGTACATATCAAATATTTTATATTTACTTATACATTATATATTATATAATTACTATAAATTGCATGTAAATCAATTTATTTCTTAATTGAATTTAAAGGTTAACGCAAAATAATATCTAGATTATTATGAGAAGATCTATACAAAACACTCCTTAAAAAATATATGCCAATTATGTAAATTTTATATAAAGAATTTATATAATATTTATGTGATATTCAAAAAGGGTTTTGAAATTGAATATGATGAAATATATTAAAGAAAAATTTCCACCGTTAATATTTAACCATACATATGTATGTATTATTATGTAGATATCTATGTATATGTTTGAATAACACAAAAAATTCAAACGTAATTTCAATATTTAATTGAAATAAAGTCTATATAGAAAAAGCTATTAAAATAATTAAAGAAATTTTCCATTTATTTTACTTACACACCTTTATTAATAATAAAATATTCTTCCGGTTCTTACAAGATACTTCCAAGAGAATATAATTTAGATAATTGTTATATTATATTCAGTAGAATAGTTTTAAGGAAAAACTTGTTAAGTTAAAAAAAAAAATTTGTTTTCAGTTAATTAAGGTTAAAGTTTAGAAATAATTCAAAAACTAAGTGGATTATTTATCATCGCACGAATATATGTCAATTAAGCACTATAAAGGATATGCGATTTTCTAAATCAAGTAGAATAAATTCCGAACTGAGTTTACAAATATAAAATAGGCTAATACGCAAGTAAATAGAAATCATTCTGTAACTCAAGTCAACAAACCAAATATAAGATGAAAATATCAATATAGTTAAAATATATGCCTGTTCCATTTAATAATGGTTGGACCATGCACATATATAATCCAAACCTTATATGGAAATCTAAACCATAAGGCTGGCGTTTTTCAACACCTTTTTAAAATTTTCAACACCTTTTTTTTTGTTGAAAATTTTCGCAGAAATCCCTTTTGTACGAATTAATATGGTGATGTTTTTTAAATCAGATTATATTCCGGAACTTTTTTTTTGTCGAGAAGAAAAACGATATAGTATACTTCCGTTCCTTTTCCTAATTCAGAATTCAGCAGATTTTACAATATTCTCATTTGAAAATAAAACTTGCGAGCCATTATATGCTTGATTTGTTCCAATTTCTTATTTCAAAAGAATTTTTAAAAGTTTTTTTTAGATATCTAAAACTCGTTATGTCTCTAAAAACATCTCTGTAACAACAAAATTTAATTTTTTATTTTATTTTCATCACGTGTATGACTTTTTCCAAGAAAAATATTTATTCAATGTTTCAATTGAAATTGAATTTAATTAAAAAACTTTTCAAGCTATTTTATTTGAAATTAAATCCCTTCGGTATATTTATACTAATAATTTTCATTATTTAATCTGTTTACGGCTAGTATTACCACATGTTCTCGATAGAGCTTAGTTAATAAACTGAATAAATAAACAGCAAATAAGAAACAATAAAATTCCAACATAATTGAAATCTCTATAAGAATTTTATTTAGTAGTAATATAATATCTTAATTTGAAATTTTATATTTTTGCTCCAATTGAAATTTTAAACTATATTATGCTAATCTGTTAAATATAAGTACTTTGAAAATTTAACAGATATTTAGCTTCAAAAATTCAGTTAAATTTACGGAAATTACCTTATGCAACATGTTATTGCACAAAAACTGATTTAATAGCTCACTAGGTTGAAATAATTGTTTAAAAAGAAACATACGAGAACCTTTAAAAGCATTGGTTTTTATAATATATTTGCATTGAAATGTTGAGATCAAGTTTCGAAAACAAGAAATAAAATATGGGAATTTTGAAAAAAAAAATCAAATCTGTTAAATCACAAAAGCTACATTTTGGTATTTTTATTTTATTTTGTTACATGCTGCGGTTTTACTTTAAATTATATAATTTTAGAATAGTAATTTGTTAGTATTTTCAAACACATTCAATTAAATTTATTTATATGTACCTACATAATTATGTTATTTCATTTATAAGGTGAAGTTGAAACAATTACTTGTAGAATACTCGTATTGTTAAAGAAATCATATAAATTTATTTTGTTCTTTACCTCCTAAATAAATCTACACTAGAAATCATAAATAGAAAACTGTTCGATCTATATTCATATCACATTCAATTCTTTTTATCACAGAGTTATAATATGATAGAAAATCACGAATCTTGTGTTAAAGGAATAGTTGTTAAAAAAAAGTGTAATCATCCTCATGTATTCATAAGTGTAAGTAACTTTCATTATGTAAGGACCAATGACTGAAAATGTTCCAAATAATGTTTAATTATCAAAGAAAATTTTCTAAAAATTAAAAACATTCGTTATTTATCCTCAACATGTATACCTATATTTTTCTCGGTATCTAGTCCGTACCTTCCATATCTAGTCATACGATTATTATTTTTATTGAAAATTTCATAATGTTTTTTGCAATTTTTCGTTTCGTAATGCAATTTAATCAATTATAATATATCCTTGTACCTTGAAATATCCATTACAAAATAAAACCATAGTTTTCAAATTGAATTAAAGTTTTCTTTTTAGTACAAAAATATTTTATGGTTAAAAAACGCTATATATAAATAGCTTGAGGAAAAAATTTTATATAGCAAAATTATGTATCTATGTATGTATATAAATTTCAAATCACATAATATAGTAGAACCTCGATAAATTAATTCAATAAAGTAGATAATTTATCAATAATAAACAAAGTGAGTTTTTTTTTAACAAATTTACCCCCAGTTTATTAATGTACAATTAATGTGATAATTTATTTATCATAATCAACGAAACAACAATTCCGATATCTCCACGTCTGTTAACAATAACCTTATACAAAATGGAGAAATCTCATTTGATCGGACACAATGCTAGGAATATCTGTACATTATGGTACAATGTCAGAGCTTACACGCATATTGTAATGTGGATTTTACATGAGACAAGTAAAGATTTTTCCGAACGTATATTACCCTTATGATTGAAATTCTCCTTCTTTTAAGGAGGTTACAACTAAAAATGGTAGAATATTGTGCAAACTATGATCATTTTATGTCTCACGAAACACCATGTTATCAATTTATTACAATTATCAATTAGCCAATTATCTTTTTCTAAACAATTTGGTATTGAATCTATATTTATAATATAAACAGAGTAAAATTATTGAGGTTTAATGGTATATTCTTTTTCAATGATTTTATGATACTTATTATGAGAAAATGAGCTTATTTTTTATTTTCTGTTCTCTTTAAAACACGAAATATTTACTCGCAAGTTTATGAGAATTTATATGCCCTAAGCATTTTTATAATATATGTCTGTGTACACAGAAAAATTTGAGGAAAATGATATGGTACATAATATATTCAAAATAGGGTTGTATAGAATAAACATAAAATGTAATTTATAGTCTAATATAAAAATGTCTTTTATGAATGACCTTATATGAAAATTTTAAAAAACGATAGACGTATTTTAATTTGTGCATGCATATACATATATTTATAGAATAACACTGTAGTTGCAACCTGTTAATGGAATTGAAACAACAATTATCAAATGTAACAAAATTTTATTTCGTATAGTTTCATATTAGAATCAAACCAATAGCATTACATTAACAAACCATACTTTATTGCAAATTTTTTTGGCTGTCCTAAAAGTTAACTCCTTACAATATTAAAAAATTACCATTTTCAATAACTTCTTTTAGGTTTTCCGTTAGTGCTATTTTATTATATTCAAAATATTGAGTATTAATATAATTTTT